CGAAATTGTTCACGTACTCGACTTGCTGCGGCATCGCGCCGTGACAGAGAGGCAAAGGTGCACCTTCTTTAGGCTCGTAGGCTGCAGCGGGCACCACAGGCGTTGCAATGGGCGAGAATGCCCCCTCATGCTTCGAATCTTTGTCGTCAGTGATTTGGTAGATTTGCCAGCGGCTCTGCGACCTTTGCTCTTCATCCGTCAATGGTTTGAATGAGTTCGTGGCGTTGCCTTCCGCCCTCATGATCTCACCGTCGACTTGCTTCATGGCTTGGAAATGCCCTTGAGGCCCACGACTGGTAGGCTTTTGAGGGTCGAAAATGATGTACTTTGCATTCTCATTGGCCCTGGAAGTGTTCCCTGGCACAGCCTTAATGGACTTCTTGAACGGAGCAAGCATCTGCTGGCCGTCGCGCAGAGCCCAAAAAGGGGCCGTCTTTGGTATAGGGAACCTTTAGGCGGTGCGCTCTAAACGAATCACTCAGGCAAACATCTTTGAAGATAACGGGTTCATTCGACTTGACCTGCATTGCCGCCGGACGAACTGCGCGGCGGCGCTGGTTGGTCGCAGTGGCAATCGTTGGAAAATGACTGTGGTCGTCGCCATTGAACTCTAAGAGAATCTCGTCCATCATCTCAATGTCTGATGAAATGCCGTTGTTGTTGACCCTCGTGTTGTTCCTGCAAGGCTTCCGCTTAGTCTTCCTCGTGGCTGGCCGCACGGAACCCGGTTTTTCGTCGGTGAAGACGATATCCGCAGGTGCTGTGTCCGACGCGAGGAAATGGGTGAGTAGGAATTGCGCTCTCTCAGCGGCTGATGGAGCTCGGTGCTTGGCAGACTTGATGAGTGCGCCTGCAGGATTCTGCGTGCAAGCCCGCGCGGGCGTGTGAAGGTAGAGGTGGTCAATGCACTCGAGCTCGGCCACGAGCGCGTTGCATGTCCGAGGGTGCATCGGCAGTCGGCGGGCATCTTTGGCATCTGTAATAGGCACCGCAGGCGGCTTAGCAGCGTCCGCGTGTTCAGCCTGCGCGACGACGTCGGGCCCAATGTTATGACTGAATCCAGCTTCTGGTTCAGGAGCCATGTAAGCTGGCGGCGCGGACGCACTGCGAAGGGCAACTGGCTGCGTCTCGCAAGCCACGCTGATGAATGTGTTTTTAATTTTTACGGCAGGCGTGGGCGAGCGGCCCCTGGAGAAAAACATGGCGACAAGGATCGTATGATCCGAATCACAACTCGGATGTTGTACGTAACACAGATGTGAGCCGAACAAACCTCGAGCACCAATGCTTACGGACACGTTCAACACGACCGAAAGGACATGCCACAGATCGCCTTGAAAGTGACCCTGGGGATTCGGCGGAGAATTCCTAAACTCTTCCAGGGTGGCCACCAAAGGGGGCTCGCGCTGGCTGTGGTTCTGGCTCTGGCTCTGGCTCTGGTTCTGGTTCTGGTTCTGGCTCTGGTTCTGGTTCTGGTTCTGGTTCTGGTTCTGGTTCTGGCTCTGGTTCTGGTTCTGGTTCTGGTTCTGGTTCTGGTTCTGGTTCTGGTTCTGGTTCTGGTTCTGGTTCTGGTTTTGGTTCTGGTTCTGGTGGGCCTCGCTGGCATCCGCAAGGCGCCGTAAAAGAGCTCGCAAACGCCCCCGGGGTCCCTGACAACCCTGGGGCGCTCAAAAGCATTCGAACTACGCCACAGATGCCCCCGAGGCGCTCTAGAACGTCCGCCGCGCCACTGAAGACCCTGGAGGGCCTCGCTGGCACCCGCAAGGCGCCGTAAAAGAGCTCGCAAACGCCCCCGGGGTCCTTGACAACCCTGGAGACCGCAAAAACATCCGAACTACGTCACAAGTGCCCCCGAGGCGGTCTGGAACGCCCGCCGCGTCACTGAAGACCCTGGAACGCCCCGCTGGCACCCGCAAAGCGCCGTAAGAGCGCTCGAAAACGCCCCCAGGGTCCGTGACAACCCTGGAGAATGTGGAGAATTTGCGCAGTTGTACAAAAGGATTCTTTTTGTGGCGGGTTACAAAAGATTTCTTATGGCAGGTTACAAAGGGATTCTTTTTGTGGCGGATTACAAAAGGATTCCTTTTAATACCGGGTTGCAAAAGGATTTTTTTGTAGCTGGTTACAAAAGGATTCCTCTTGTGGCAGATACAGAGGGATTCTTTCTGTGGCAGGTACAAAAAAGGATTCCTTTTGTGGTTGGCTTCGAAAGGATCACTTTTGTAGCGGGTTGCAAAAGTAATTCAGTTCTAATTCGTTACAGAAGGAAATATCATTGAAATGTATTACAAAAGGAATCCGATTGAAATCCTTGACAAAAGGAATATGATTGAAACCTGTTGTCAAAGAAATATTATTGGAAATGCGCAGAACTAGCTCACAGAAGTCCCAGGGCCTTCCCAGGAAAACGAGGAAAATATAATGAAAAACAAGGAAAACACAGCGACAAATAAGGAAAATTCGGTGTTCCTTGTTTTTCATTTTTTTTTTTTTTTTTTTTTGTGTTTCTTTGTTCTTCATTGTTTTCTTTGTTTTCCTTGAAAGCCATGGAACATATTTCCGAATTTGGAAACCTTCCAGAGAACCTTCATGGAAAACAAGGAAAACAATGAAAAACAATGAAAAGCAAAGAAAACAAAGCGAATAACAATGACATGTTCGTTGTTCCTTGCTTTTCGCTGTGTTTGCATTGTTCTTCCTTGTTTTTCATTGTTTTCCTTGTTTTCCTTGGGATCCATAGAACAAATCCGAATTTGGAAACCTTCCAGGGAACCTTCCAGGAAAACAAGGAAAACAAGGAAAACAATGAAAAACAAGGAAAAACAAGGAAAACACAGCGACAAATAAGGAAATTTCAGTTGTTCCTTGTTTTTCGCTTTGTTTTCTTTGTTTTTCATTGTTTTTCATTGTTTTCCTTGTGTTCCTTGGAAGTCATCGAACATATTTCCGAATTTGGAAACCTTCCAGGGGACCTTCCAGGAAAACAGATCTTTCAATAGAAGTCTAAAGAAGAAACGATTCCTGTTGCGCTTGTAAGTCAATCCTGTTATCACGTCGTTTGCCTCACAAGGCAATGTTGGAGATCACAGAGGAAGACGTCACCATATATATGTATACATCTACATTTACATATATAGATGTATATCAATGTACATCCAAGCTTTCCTCTATCTACCTGTCCTTTGTATCTTTGTATATATATACATATATGTCGATTTGTAATTGTGTCTTTCCACCGACCATCGTGACAACCATCGTGACAACCATCGGGACAACCATCGGGACAACCATCGGGACAACATTTATCTACGCATCTATCCATCAACCATCGGCACAAGCATCGGGACAACCATCGGGACAATCAACGGGACAACCATCGGGACAACCATCGGGACAGCCGCTGGGGCACCCGGGGGCCACGCCCGGCACTCGGGGGTCGGCCCTTCTGGCAATATATGGCCTCCTGTATGGGTGGAACTCGCGCAGCTTCGCCTCGCACGCACGCACGACACGAACCGAAGCCAAAACCGATTTCCCAGTTGGGGTCACTTCCGTTTCAACCCCCCAACCTCCGATTTCAATCCATAAGCGATCCTCGGTCGGGAAAGGGTTTGGTTTCCAGTTGTGCATTGGGTTCCAATCCCCAACCGATCCTCGTTCAGTGACGGTGTTTGTGGCCACGTTGGTGGAGGTTTGGAAGCCCGCCCGCATAGCCGCCCAGTCCAACGTGGGGAAGGGGAGCGGCGGCGGGAAAACAACATGGCAGAGGTGCCCGGCAATTGGAAGTTTTGCCGTGACGCGGTGTTCGTCCTGAGCCCCAGGGCTCTCTGAGAGTTCCCAGAAATATCCGCGACCGATTGACAGTCCCGTGGGGCCGCCTTCGAGAGGGATGAGATAGAAAAGGAAGGCAACGAGGTCGATGATAAGCATGGGAAGATTGGTGAGGGGGAGAGGGGGAGGAGGAGGAGGAGGAGGAGGTGGAGGAGGTGGAGGAGGAGGAGGAGGTGGAGGAGACAGAGGAGGAGGAGAAAGAGGAAAAAGAAAGAGGGGAAAAAGGAGAAAGAGCATAAAGAGGAGAAAGAGGAGAGAGGAGAAAGAGGAGAGAGAGGAGAACGAACAGAAAAAGGAGAAAGAAGACAAAGAGGACAAAGAGAAAAAAGAGTACGAGGAGGATGGAGAGACTGTGGATAACGATTCGAAGGAGGAGGAGGAGAAGGAACCGGAAGCTGCTTCTCGTGCCTCCTATCCTCTTTCTTTTTACCCTGCCTCTTGTGAGCCCATCTTCCCCTATAGCATGTTGAGGAGATTTGGTGTGGGGCATGAGGCCCCGAGTGGTACCAAAACTTCGTTGGCAGGTGTTTTGCCAGCGTTCATAACTTGCTGTGGCCGATCAGGTATTGAACTTTGTGCTTGTCGATCTTGCAAAGAGACAGTTGTCCTTATGGTTGGTGATTGTTGTTCTTGACAGCAGACGGTGGGACGCCCAGGCGCCTAGGCGTCATTGCCAGCTCTTCACTAGACACCAAGGGGCACATTTGAAATACCGAAAAGGATGATAGGAGCACATGCGAGAACACTGGAGGATTACGACCACTCGCGCGCACATGCACCGTACATCACGCCCACCAGGAAAGTCCAGGTTGAGTTGTTTTCGCAGTCCCCATCAGCTTTTCCGGCCTCCCGCTCATTATTATCATCGTGATTTCTTTTCGCTTCCTTCCCAGAGCCATTCTTCCATGGCACCGTTTCTCCCTTGTAAATTCCTCATCCCAGGTGTTGTCCTCCTGGTTTCCTTTCTCTGTCTCATCGTTGGGTCATCCTTATGGCATGGGTGAACAGGCAGTGCGGTAGTTTCACCAAGACAGCCAGATGTCTTCTTCGATCTGATGTTGTTTGTGGCTCAGTGGAAAGAAGGAGGGGGGGGAGGCGGAGCAGCAAAAGGACCAGTTGACAGAGCATGATTGTGTCATTTGACGCTCACCTGCGCTGCGTCTTGCGAGGATGCACAGAAGCGATTGACTCTCGGCGAGAAGTGTTTTGAGACGCCCGAGAATGGCAGTGAACGGCGGCGGGCTGGGAAGGGGGGTCGGTTAATCGTTGTTGTTCTTGTTGTTTCTCTTTCGTATTCCCGCCCTTGTGGCAATATGCACATGTTATCCCTGACGTTTCTCTATGCTCAAGACGGTGTCAAGATCTGCCCGTGCCCAGCTTCGTTGCTCGTGTGTTCGTAACTGTTTTCGTATTTCCATATTCGTTCAACGCAATTACAGTTCGACGCGCCAGCAGGGCTATGAGGGAGCGTTTTTCCCCAATCAGAGCTTGCCTCTGTGGGGGTCCTACCGTTTTCATATGGTTAGGTGAGTTATGGCGCCGATTTCCGCGGCACGCTCGGGTGCCCGGGTGCTCGGGTGCCCGGATGCCCGGGTGCCCCGGTGCCCGGGTGCCCGGGTGCCCAGGTGCCCAGGTGCCTGGGTGCCCGGGTGCCTGGGTTCCCGGTAGCCCTATAGCCCTGTAGCCCTATAGCTTTATAGCCTTATAGCCCTATAGCCCTATAGCCTTATAGCCCTATAGTCCTCATAGCCCACTAGCCCACTAGCCCAATAGCCCTATAGTTTTATAGCCTTATAGCCCTATAGCCATATAGCCCTATAGCCCTGCAGTACCATAGGCCTATAGCCCTATACCCCTACAGCCATATCGCCCTGTAGCCCTATAGCCCAATAGCCTGCTAGCCCTATAGCCCCATAGCCCTATAGCCCCATTGCCCTATAGCCCTAAACAGATTTTGATTGGGTTTGTCTCCAGTATCATTCGTCAGTCATTGGGATACTCATCCCTTAACTATTTGTATCATGCCGTGGATCGACTATGCGAAAGTCTGCCTGGCATGACGCCGTGATTTGATACCTGAGCTCAGACAGCAGTTCTTGGCCACTGGATTTGCAGTAGCCCTACCATATTGAATGTGCATAATGACAATGGAAGTTATCGTCTTCAACCTGCATTACTCGGGAAGTGGCATGGCGGATGCTCAAGGCCGCACCTCCAGCTCGCCGACATGAGTTTCAAGTATCTACCATGCCACACGGACGGTATCAATACCCTCAAACGCAATTGGGCCCGCTCATCAGCAAGACGGAAGACCGCGAGCTGCAGCCTGATTGCGTCAATGAAGGCGGCATTTGGCACCAAGAGCGCCACGCACCTCAACCGAATGGAAATCACGACTAGGAGATTCATCTTGCTTCGCGGGGTGCACGTCCAAACCACGTACAGCCCGGTCGTTATGAGGCCTCATAGGAGCCTCTTGGGAGCATCTAGAGGGCCTCTCATGGGCCTCGTGGGGGCCTCTCGGGGCGTCTTGGGGGCGTCTTGGGCCGTCTTGGGGCTCTCTTGCGCCGTCGGGCCGTCTTGAAGCATCTTGAGCTTTTTTGAGGCCCTTTTGGACCATTAGGAGGCCGAAGAAACCAAAATCATAGATGTCCTTCGTTGTTTCAGGTTGCACGCATCGATGGAGCCCTCTTGGGGGCTTCTTGGAAGCTCCTTTTAGGTGCCTCTTGGGGCCTTTTGGGGGCCTCTTTGGGGCCTTTTGGGCGCGTCTTGGATAGCCTTGAAGCGCTCCTGCGCCGTCCGGAGCCTGCGGTCGAGGTCTTGGAGGCTTGTTGGTGCCGCTTTGGTGCTCTCTTGGGGCCATGTTGGTGCCAGTTTGGTGCTCTCTTTGGTGCTCTCTTGTTGGTGCCTCGGGGGTGGACAGAACCCCCAACAGCGACACGTCGATTAGTGTATTCTCCGTTTTCGGTTCCCGAGGGGGCGCCGTGGCCGTCATTTTCCAGGCTTGCGCCCGCCAGGTTTGGGCCTCAGGTCGTTTTCACTAAACCACGTTTTACGGAGGAGGAGGAGGAGGAGGAGGAGGAGGAGGAGGATGGGGGAGGAGGAGGATGGGGGAGGAGGAGGAGGAGGAGGAGGAGGAGGAGGGAGGAGAGGACGAGGAGGAGGAGGAGGAGGAGGAGGAGGAGGATGTAAAGGGGGGTCTGTCCATCCCCGAGTGCCACTCACGCTGAGCGGCGCTCCGGCGCCACACCCGCATCACCCTTGACGGTGCCCACGCGCGGGAGTGTCTGCCTGTCCGTCTTGGGGCAATGTTGGGCCGTCTTGACGGGTCTCTTGGACCATTTCGGGGGGCCTGTTCTTGGACCATTTCTTGGACCATATGGAGCCCATACCCCCCCCCAACCCGAAATTCGGGTCTTCGGGTTGGGTTGGGGTGGTCTGGTAGGTAGTCAGTTCTGGGCATTCTCGGGACCCTCTGCGCCATCTGGGGTCCCCCCTGTGCCGCAAGGGGTTCGTTTCGAATGCTGCTTGGGCCGCGATGGGCGGCCGAAGCTTCGAAACTGCGAGAACGCCGAAATCGGTCAAAACCTGACAGTCATGGCATCTGGAGGCGCTCTTGGGGGTATGGCTGGGGCCCTCTTTTTGAGGCCCTCTTGGGGCCATCTTGGGCCGTCCGGAGGCCGTCGTCGGTCGTCTTGAAGCCACCTTGAGCCGTCGGGATTCCCCTGTGGACTACAAGAGGCCCACAAGGCCAACATCGCGTATTTCCAATAGGTTGTTTGTAGGTTGTTTTATTTCGCGCGAATGGGTCGGCGACTCGGCGGGGTGTCTGGGGGGGATTAAGGGTAGCTGCTTTGTAATGAATAAGGTGGATTCTCGGGCTTGCGCCACACTCCCGACCCCTTGGGGAACTGGCAGTTGTTGCGTGGTGCTCCTGCGGGCCTCTTGTGCGCCTTTTGGGGGGTTCTTGGGGCTTCATGGGGGCCTCTTGGGAGCCGTTTCGGGGCCTCTTGGGCTGACATTCTCAGTGTTCGCCGTGCACGCATGAGGAATGGGGCGAGAACCCGCGTACACAGACAGAGGGCATCTGTCGAAACACCCGACGGATGATTATCGAAGACGCCTACGGCGAATCACCGCCGCCCCCTGCCTTTGTGGAAGCGCCTATGTGGCTGACAGCTGGGCTAGAGCCTGGCCAAGCTAGCGGGCCAGTTGTTCCCCGAGTCGGTTTGGAGAGCCTTCGGGGATCGCGTGGGGGAGCAAGAGGTTTGAAAGCGCTCATGTGTCCGAGCGTTGTGGCAAGAGCTCTGCCAAGCTGTCGGACCAGGTGTTCCCCCAACCGTCGTGGAAACCCTTCGGGGAACACTTCTGGGAAGATGGCGGGGAAGATCAGGAGGAGGAGGAGGAGGAGGAGGAGAAGGACAGTGGTGGGACAGTAGTACAGTGGGGAGAGTGGTGGGGACAGTGGGGTCAGTGGGACCGTGGTGGGGACAGTGGGGACGGTGGGACAGCACAGTGGGACAGCGGCGGGGATAGTGGGACAGTGGTGGGTACAGTGGGGACAGTGGGACAGTGGTGGGGACCGTGGGGAAAGTGGGGAGAGTGGGACCGTGGTGGGACAATGGTGGGGAGAGTGGGGACAGTGAGACACTGGTGGGGGCACTGGTGGGGACAGCGGGGACTGGTGGGAACAGTGGGGACAGTGGGACAGTGGTGGGGACTTTGGGACAGTGGTGGGGACGGTGGTGGTGGGGACAGTGGTGTGGGGACAATGGGAATGTGGTGGGGACAATGGTGGTGGGGACCGTGGTGAGGGCGGTGGCGAGGACGGTGGTGGGACAATGGGGCAGAGGTATAGTGGGGACAGTGGTAGGGACAGTTGGGACAGTGGTGGGAACAGTGGGACAGCTCAGTGGGACAGCGGCGAGGACTGGGACAGTGCGACAGTGGGGACAGTGGGACAGTGGTTGGGGCCGTGGGGAAAGTGGGGAGAGTGGGACTGTGGTGGGAACAGTGGTGGGACAGTGGGGACACTGCGACAGTGGTGGGGGCACTGGTGGGGACAGTGGGGACGGAACACTGGGGACAGTGGTGGTGAGGACAGTGGTGCTGGGGACAGCAGTGGGGGATGTGGTGCGGACGGTGGTAGGGACCCGGGAGTCGTTTGCCGGCGGTGAGCGTGGGGAGGGGGAGGGGTTCGAACCAGTAGCGACCCCCTCCGGTTTTCTGGCGGGGGGGGGGTTCGAACCGGTGGTGACCCCCTCCCGGTTTTCTGGGGGGTGGGTTCGAACCGGTAGTGACCCCCCCTGGTTTTCCGGAGGGGGGTGGGGGGGGGTTCGAACCGGTAGTAACCCCCCCCTTCCCCCGGTTTTCCAGAAAAGGGGGGGGGGAGGGGGTGTTCGAACCGGTAGTGACCCCCCCTCCCAGTTTTCCGGAGGGCGGGGGGGGTTCGAACCTGTAGTGACCCCCCCCCCGGTTTTCCGGAGGGGAGGGGGGGTTAGGGGGGAGGGTGTACCAGGGGGAAGGGAGGTGGGGGGGTCCAACAGGAGGGGATTTTCGGAGGGGGGGGACCCCTGGTTACGGAGGAAGAGAGGGGGAATTCTTCACGCTTCGCGTATCCCCACCAGCCCATCTCAAAACAGCAACTCTTGCGAAGCATGCCGACAGTCGTGTTTTTCAGGCGTGTTTCCGCCTGCCCCCGCATATCTCCCCGGTTCCTCCTTCCTCCCGCCTCCTTGTACATCCTCCTTGTGGTGGGAGCGGGAGAAGGACGAGGCAGAGGAGGAGGGAGAGAAAGCGCTCCTCGTGGTTTGAGTCGTTTGGGGTTTCTCGTCCTGGTGTGAGTCGTTCGGGCCCTTCTTCCTGGTGTGAGTCGTTCGGGCTCTTCGTGGTGTGAGTCGTTCGGGCTCTTCGTCCTGGTGTGAGTCGTTCGGGCTTCTCGTGGTGTGAGTTGTTCGGGCCCCTCGTCCTGGTGTGAGTCGTTCGGGCCCCTCCTCCTGGTGTGACTCGTTCGGGCTCCTCGTGGTGTGAGTCGTTCGGGGCCCTCGTCGTGGTGTGAGTCGTTCGGGCTCCTCGTGGTGTGAGTCGTTCGGGCGCCTCGTCCTGGTGTGAGTCGTTCGGGCCCCTCCTTCTGGTGTGAGTCGTTCGGGCTCTTGGGAGCCTAAACGAGCCTCTTGGGAGCCTCTTGGAGGCCTTTTGGGGCGTCTTGGGGGCCTTTTGGCGGCCCCAGGGGCTTCT